AGCCACCACTTTAACAGCGTGCAGCACCAGTGGACTTAAAAGTTGGGGAGGGAAGGGATTTGCAGCAGCAGCAGCTGAGATGCTTCAGCCGAGTTGCTTCTCTGCTTCCACGCAGTGGAGGAAACCAAACAGCCCTACTCGCTCCCGGCCTCTCCTCCGACCTCTCTTCAACTCACCTCCCAGCTGCTGCTTCGATCCTTGGAAGAGAACAAAAACCTATCTGCCCGCCTCCTTCCTCCCATGAGTGATCCAGAAGAGGAAGTTCCTTTGCCCTTCTCCTCTTCTCATCCTTTCTAGCAGTGCAGTACTCTATGGTTTTAACTCCTTTAAATTCAACCACGGAGGCTTCCTGCTGAATTGCAGTATCCGCTTTCTAGACACAGATGTTGCCTATTCGATCTATCAGAATAGAGCTGGAAGGGACCTTGGAGGTCTTCTAGTCCAACCCCTTCCTTGCTCAAGCAGGAGGCCCTATACCAGTGGTTCTCAACCTTTTTAATGCCGCGACCCCCAACCGGTCGTAAATCGAGGACTAAACCGGTCATAAGTCAATGACTAAACCGGTCATAAGTTGAGGACTACCCAACCAGTCGTAAGTCGAGGACTTTCCCTGCCTGGGAGCGCCGCGCATGCGTGGTACCGCCCCCTGCGCCAGCCGAGGCGTAGGTGGCAAGCGGCAGACGCGGAGCAGGCCGACCACCAGCTGGCCCAGCCCAAGGGAGGTAAGGCACCCGCCGGAAAAGGGGAAAAAAATGGCGGACAAAAAAATGGCGGAGAGCCTTGCTTGGCGACCCCCGTGAAATGGTCGATCGACCCCAAATGGGGTCCCGACCCATAGGTTGAGAACCGCTGTCCGATACCATTTCAGGTAGGTGGTTGTCCAGTCTCTCCTTACCGCCATCTCCCTCTAGGGAGCAGAAAAAAAACAAACTTGTCTCATCTCTACCTAAGGCGTTTGCAAGATATTTTCACTTATTGCATGCTATCAAATAGTCTTCGACTTTAAGCAACCGACCTTTGCAACTGAACCAAGTGAAATAATAAAATGCGATGCGACTTAGCTTGTGATCAGCCATATGCTGAACCCTAAAAGTTCATGAAGCTTTTACAGAATTACATAATACGTTTCTTTAAAATCACATATTTTATTGATTTTTTAAAACATAAATCACTTAACAGTTGGTAAACAGTTGCTGGGTTTCCATTTGTAAAGAAAAATCATTAACAATTGGTTTCTATAATCCTTAATCCACATAGTACATTTAGTTGATTTTCCCTTTTCCTCAAAATGTCTTCTTTGCAAACCTTGAATTAATACAGTTCTTATTATTTTGATAAATAACAGTTACATATATGATTTTTCCCCAATATTCCTAGAAATAATGATCACATCAATATAATATTTCTTTTCTATCTAATCATCTTATATCCTGTTACAGTCCATATTTAAATTTGTATCTCCCATAAAGTTCAAAGTATTCTTGCTGGTTAAGATCTTTCAACAGTTAATTACATTTAAAGATTTAAATCCATTTTTCCCATTTCCACAATTTTACATTTCTTAAAGAAAAGGTAAAAACAGTAAACAAAAGGAAAGGATAGCAATAGTAAAGAAACATAAAAAGTAAAATACTACTTAATATATATATATTCCTCTTGCTAATATATATTCAACCCCCCAAATTCTTTTTAACCATAATTAAAAATATATTTAATCTTTAAATATTCCATTTAATGTGTCTAGTCATCTAATCCTTTAACTCTTATTCAAAACATTTTTTTCTTTTTTATACATTATAATTTCCCTAAATTCAAACACATTTAATTATCTAAAACATTTCCTTCATCTAAGCCATTTGAACAGTATTATATTACTTATATCAAGAAATAAAATAAAAAGGGGGGAAAGCATACAGTATTATTTAACGAATTCATCCCTCTTAGAATGACATATGGGTTCAAAATTTGGCAAATTCTTTGTACTTAAATTAGTCAATTTTTCAGCAGGACTTACAATGGGACATTAGAAACGAAATTCAAACCTTCTCTACACTCATCACTTGGGGCTACATGCGGATTTTCCTCTGTGCGGTAAAAATGGAATATTTCCAGAAGAACCGTCCACACTCAGGGCACTTAAATGATTTTTCCCATGTGTACAAGCACATAATGTATAAAGTTAGACCTAGCACTGAACTCTTTCCCAGTCTAGA